GAAGCGGAGTATGTTGCTACTGCTTCATGTTGTGCTCAATTGCTATGGATCAAACAACAATTATTGAACTTTGGAATTGATGCTGGTTGCATACCTATTTTTTGTTATAACACTAGTGCTATTAGTATGACAAAGAACCCGGTTCATCATAAGAGAACTAAGCACATAGATGTTAGGCACCATTTTATAAGGGACAACTATGAGAAAGGCTTGATCACTATGGAGTTTTGTGCTACTCACAAGCAAATTGCTGACACCTTCACAAAAGCCTTAAGTAGAGATCACTTTGACAGGAACAGGTTGAAATTAGGGATGATTAAGATCGCCTAAAAGGACCAGTTCAAGATTAAACGAAAAAATTGAAAAAAAATTTGGTTAGAAAGTTTGTAAATTGTGTATAATTAGATTAAATCTTGCTCAGTCTCATACTTTCCATAGTATACTCTTATGCCATGTGTAAAAATGACTCATTAATCTCTAATGATATTTTCTCTATTTTGGCAAATTTAGACTTACACAAGAGAATTATCAGTGAAGAACCTGGTTCATCAAGATAACACGACACTCTGCATAATTTGAAATAACTATATTTGGATCATGAGCAGAGTCCTACCAAATACCAAAGCTCTTTTGAACTTATCCGTTACAAGTGAACCAGTTACGTTCAAGACTCCTGACCGTATTAAACTACCTAGATTCTTTTAAGTCTACTACTCAGGGGGAAGAAAGTGGTTCTTCCGAAACTGAACAGGTATATTCTGATTCTAAAGTTTCTCCTGAGACAATTTCTAAAGTTGCTGCAAATTTGGAGAATAGATTTGTAGGATCTATAGCAGGTGTTGAGACTACAGAGTCTGAAGAATTTTGTGGTAAAAATGAAAAAAAAAAGAAGAGCAGGGGTGCTAGGAGTACTGTGAGGGGAAAGGGGACAAGAGTGGCTGATCTTCACCCACTCCTGTGAGTTTAACCAAAGACGCAGGTGCAATGGTTGTTTGGGGAGATGAACCCGGTTCATCTGTAGAGGAAACCCTCGCAGACCTGCTGAAGAAAGTGACTGAAAGCTATAATCCAGCTTCTTGATAGAGTTATCAATGGCACCGAAACTCATACCATTCCCTATGGCTTCATTCTCACAACTGTGCTTGCACATTTCAATGTACCTATGAAAAAGTGGGAGGTTAGTACAAACATGGATCATTTTTGGGTTAATACTCTGCTTGCTTGCTATTATGAAGTCAATGTCACTCCTAAAGAACCTAGTTCATCCAGAAAGGTACCGGTGAATAGCAAGGTCAGAGCCTTGGTGCAAGAAAGTGGGGCTAAGGATGCTGAGATTGAAAGGCTGAAGAAGAGGTTGGTTGAGATGGAGACTAAGAGAGACGCTCTCAGAACTGAGCTGGCAAGAGAAAAAAAGAAGAATGATGGCATTCTTCAAGATATACTGAAACTCCTCCAAGTCAAAAACCAAGCACCTAGTTCTTCCCAGCCTTAAGCCTCCTAGCCTAGTGTAGATTAAACAGTGACCCAGTTCGGGACGTTTTGTTTCTTTTGCTCATGTTTTCAGTATTTTTATTTCTTCTTATGTTTTATGGTAGAATCTTATCAATCATCAATGAAATTCATTGTTTTTGTTCTAACTGTTTGTTTATATTTTTTGATGGTTAAAATTCTTAGCTTGATCTATGATGATTAATCCATGATTGCATTTCTTTAAAATTTGGTTATCTCACATTTTTATGCAACTTTTCGATGATGCCAAAAGGGGGAAAAGAAGTTGTGCTTTATACTCTGAACAGTGATGTTTATAACCTAATGTACCTGGTCCTTGATGATAAGTGATAAAAAGGAAAAATGTTTCTAACATTGTGTTGATGTTGAGCTGAGTTGAAACAGGGCCTAAGCTTATGAAAAGCACAGAGTTTGTCATCATCAAAAAGGGGGAATTTGTTGGCCCAAGTAAAGGTTAGTTTTGAAGACTGACAAAGGAACTCATGCATAAACCAGGTCCATCCCTCCAGATCCATCCCTTGTGTGCATAGAAATGGGCAGATTCGAGCATGTGGGATGCATGTGAAGGAGATAAGCTTAAATTTGTGTATTTAGTATCTCCTGATCGAAAAGGTTGCATAATTGATAAGGAGAAGGACTCCTTAATCAAATAGAACACTATCCAAGATAGGGAAGGAGTTAGAAGTTGAAATCAACTAGAACTCTTCCACCAAGGAAGAGTTGCATCAGAACTCTAGTTATTTCGTCATCTACTAACTCTATAAATTGCAGGATGTTCTCACATTACATGTGGTGCAAAAAAACGCAGAAGTTAAACGTGAATTGAGAGAAAATTAGCAAGGCTTTTTGCAAGCAGTTCGTGTGTGATTCAAGTGTGCAAACTTGAAGCTACATGAACCAAATTGAAGAACCAGCTCCATAAAGAGTTTTATGTGTCTTTCTTTATTTCTAGTTCAATTGTAGTAGGTCATATTGTACCTTTCAGCTTTATCTAGAAGCAATTGTAATAGGTACTTTAAGTATTCAAGTTATAGTAAACTTGAAGTTGTCGTAACAGTTAGAGGTTGTGTGCTACAATGGGATTACAGTTAGTCTTAGGTTTACAAAGAGTGTTGTAAATGTTGTTTTGACTCAGTGATTTAGTAAAGTGTTGGGGAAAATCCTACTGAGTAGTATGTCGTGGTTTTTTCACCTTTTGAGCTGGGTGTTTTCCACGTAAAAATACTTGTGTTTTTTACTTTCTACATTCATTTCTGATTGATTCAATCTCAGAAATTCTTCTTGAGGCACACCACATATTTTATGTAAGACGCATAGAAGCAAACTGGTGCAAGAGATGGGGGTCTGGGAAATACAAAAAATATCTTTGGTGGGCGGCTTGGAGTACCTATGAAGAGGACTTCCAAGATCAGTTAAAGAGTATGAGTCAAGTGGATGATGAGGGTAAAGCTGCTGTTGAAGATACCTGCTGGATAGGGCATTCTTTGATACTACCTGCAAGAACCAGTCAATGGATAATAACCTGACTGAGTCAATCAATGCATGGATATTGCAAGCCAAACACAAGCCAATTATAAAGATGTTAGAGGAGATCAGAATCAAGTTAGTGGATAAGTAGCATCCCTGTCTTTGCAAGTTTTTCTTCCAACGTGATGACTTTATTCACTTCATATTGGTGTATAGCCTTCATGGCAATTACTTCTTCCTTCAATTTGTCCCTTTGCATCTTAATCTCATCCATCGACGATTTACATTAGTCCAATCACTTTATGGGAAGATTTCATCTTCCCATTCCAAAACCCACATGAACTAGGTTGTCAAACATAATTCGAAAAGAACATTTAGATAATCATTACAAAACTCTAAACTAGTAGATTTTATAATTATAGTAAACTTAAAAAAAAAATAGAAAACTGAAATTAAACAACCTTAGGCCTCGGAAAAAAAATAGAAAACTGAAATTAAACAACCTTAGGCCTCGGACATTTGTAGAATTTTCTTCCAGGGTTATATGGAGTAGACGAAGTGAAGTGGTTGGCTATAATGCCACAGCGACACCTAATCTGTGATAACAACTACCTTGCAACATTTATCAACCAAAGCTACGACGAGAATGAAGAAAAGAGAAATTTTGGGAAGATTTCAGTCGAACCCTAAGTTCTCAGCAATGGAGTGTCTTTTGGGGGAGAAGAAGAAGCCGTTGGGTACTGGTCAAAATTTGGGAGTGAAATTGGGTCAATCTAATTTGGGAGTCGATTGGGGGCTTTCAACTTCATGGAAAGCTGACTTGGCAGCTGACTTGGAAAAAATAGAGGGGGTCAGCTGCCACATCGACGATCCGTTAGGGTTAGGGGCAATTACATCAACTTTGTTAACGGTAGGGTCGGATTGAACGTAAAATAAAACGGGAGACGAACATGCATTATTTCCAATAGTACAGGGATAATAATGGCCTTTTTCCAGTATAAAAAAACAACAACTTATTTACTCAATCAACATAGGATACTTACTAGTGGATATGTTACATATTCTATCTGGTCCACTTTAATTATTTTTTTGATCTTATTTTGTGGTACACAAATATTTGAGTTTTTCAAATATCAAGAAGGAATTAACTTTCTTTTTTCAAGGTTGATTTTGAGTAAAGAGTCTTGGAGTATTTATTATGTTTTCAAAGAATAAATTAAGGTTAATATGGTAAATTTTATTTTTAATCAATGTTAAATGGTGAATTTCTTAATATGTGTGCAAACAGCCAAATAATCAATTAAAGTGAACGGGAGGTAGTACATGAATATAAAATAATAATGTTTGAATGCATCTTCAAAGAAAGAACGAATGAAGGAAGAAGAGAATATGATAATCCCACCATTAACTACAATAATCAGCATTATTATCACATCTTACCAACCAAATACAACCCACAATAACATCTCCATTATCCCCTATGGAATATATCCAGATAATCCCCTGTCCATAATCATTCACAAAGAATGTTTTAACCACTCTTTCTTCTTTTGGATTTATATAAAACTAATGTAATTATTTATAATTTATTTGAATACTGAATTCATTGGAACATCCCACCTTTGAACTTGAATAATAGGTACAATGATTTCATATAACCAACCCCAACTAGTCTAGGATTAACGTGTAGCCGCTACAGAATCTAAAAGATTCAATGTCCATTGCAGCAGCCAGGGAACGATTTCACGGTCTTCGGCATATCAAACTAAAAAAATAACAGCCCTATGCACTAAGCTCTCGCTATGCTTGGGGGGTCTGGGGAGGGGGGGTGAGGTCCGGGGAAGGATCGGACAACAAGGATCTATTGTACGCGGCCTTAATTACCCTACATTTCTACAAGAGGTGGTTTCCACGATTCGGACTCGTGACCTTATTGTCACATGGCAATAACTTTACCAGTTACGCCAACGCTCCCCTTACAAACTAAACCTTTCAAATTATCAATTATCAACTCTATAAACATGTAGACTAAAAAATTAAAAGGAGATAAACTCCTATTATATATAGCAAATAAATTTCCATGAACTGCTCAAGTTTCAGGAATGTTACAACATGAACAATGTAGAGCAACCAGCAGTGTGTACAAAGGGGGAAAAGAAATGAGGAAACTAAGCAATGTGTATAAAGGGGCCGCAACTAAGGTATGGGATGGAGCCTTAAATTTGTGAATCCAGAGCTTCCAGTTAAACAAATCTACGTTTCACCCCTCTTGGTGTACACTGCAGGCTGCAGTGATGTAACTCGCAAACGGAGTGCAGCTCCTATATACATGAATTCGGTTGTTAATTTGCGTAGAACATTCTAATGTACCATTCCCGAGCGCTTCCTACATCTACTGGGGCATTAAAATGCACCTTCCCTGAACTTCAACCGCCTCCATGCGATAATCTGCTTTCTGAACTGTCATGCAGTGTTGAAGAGTATTCTCTAAGCATGTAACGGAACTGCATGGGTAGTCTTTTCTTCTAACCAAATGTAACCACCACCGTGTTTTAAATGCTACTTGATGTTTCATCCTCATTAGATGGTTCTAAGCATTCCCACGGGTTGGAGTAGAAATAATCCTCTTCTTTAGGCCGGTCTGGAATCACCAACCTCTTTGTAGGGTTTCCCATGCGTTCAGCGTGAGCTTCCTTAACAGCAGCAGAAAACTCATCCCACGTCAAGGATCCAGCATTATATTGGTCTATCAAATCTACTAGATGCTTTCTGTCCAGCAAGATCGTTTTCTTGAATCCAAGATATCTGCATAGAATGGGAAAACTTCAAGTCCTTAACGAAAAGCTACTTACAAAGTACATTCTCAACAATGGAAGCTGAAATTTGTATCAAGACCAGTAACTCCATGGATGTCGTGCGCGCAAGCTGGCCCAGACACCATGGTTATAAAAAAAAACAGTACCTGCGATGTCCTTCAACAACTTTAGCCATGTTTCCATCATATGTCGGGACAAAAATATCACTCTCCAGTGAAACAAGATAATCTAATGCTGCCATCTGTGAAGAGTGATTTTGAAAGAACCTAAGCTCAGAAGGCTCAAGTAGTGTTTCCTTCCTCACCTGCTCATAATAAGGACCCAGCACAAAAGGTGAGATGGCAAATTAAGGCAACATATATGAAAGCTTTTAAGGAAAACTTGCACTTTCTGAGTACCAGATTTGGATAAGCTGCCGTAAGACTAGCCATTCTCCTTGTTCCGCCATATATCTCCCCAGCAGCAATATAAACTTGGATGCTAGGATCAATGTCCAATGCCCTTAATGTCAAAGCAGTCTCCTCGGGTGTCAAAGGACAGAAACCATCTCTCCTTTTCAAATCAGAGTTTATGATTTTTTCTTTCCACCACGGATAAGCGTATCTGTAAAAAGTATTGGATCAGCCGAAGAAAGAGGGGAAACTTAAGGCCACCACTAAATACGAGATACTACTATTTTACCTCATTCTTGTCAACTCTTCAACCTCCTCCTTGTTGCAGCCCTGAGTACAACCAGAGAAAGCTAACATATCCATTTCATATCTCAGGTGCAGCACCATAAAAGGACCTTTTTGCCTGAGAAGTCGAATAACCTTTTTACCCAACTCTTCTATCTGAGGGGTGAATTTTAAGGCACTAAAATTGACTCGGCACCGCAGCTTCTGAATTTCCAAAGGTTGACCATTATTAGCAAGCCGAGCATCAGTTCTATTCAAGTGAACAACTTTGTATTTCCGAATTAAAGGAAGGACCTGTATTCAGCAAATGTGACCTTCATCAGTACTAGGAAAGAGGATGCAAGTAACAAGCACAACGCAATAGCGTCATGTAACCACAAACCTGATTGTGGTAGTAAGAAATATCAGACCAACTAATAGGAGGCATGGTATAAATCATTCCTAGCTGTACTCTCCTCTTCAGTCTCGGGGGTAGCTCTCTCAATATTCGAACTTCATCCCTCAAAGACATTATAAAATTATCAACATCAAATATGTCTTGAAACTCACTGCAAGTCAAAAGAACAAAAAGACATTTTACATTGTACAACAGTCCACAGATCATCAGACAATCTTCCTAAAGAGCTGGTGATTCGAACGAACAAGATACTTAGGGAAACACACCTTGGATCAGCCCAAAAGGAGGTTTTATCTAGCTCAGGCACTATAAGAGTCACATTCAAATATCTCGCAATAGCAACCATATCACATATCTGCAACACAGGGGAAGATGTCAATGGTTTAGTCTTGTCATATTAGATCCTTATGTGCCATGAAGTGATAAAATCTAAAGTTACTTACTGCTGCCCGCATTTGATTAAGACCTCCGTTACATGAAACCATGAGATAACCATTATTCTTGTAAACCCCTGGATTCAGAAACCATCAGAACTGTCAGTCTCACGAAATGTGCAGGTTAGAAGACATAACTGAAAATCAATGGGAAAAAACTACGACAGAGCAAAAAGAAACCAAATCCATAGAAGGACATTGCCCAATTTTTTTTTTCCTTTGAGGCATAATAAGTGCTGATAAAAAAATTTACATAACCTGAATTGAAGTCTTTTTTAAGTTATTCAACTAAGATATCCTAGCAATACTCTCAAACATTTTGACTACACACTTCACGATTCTCTCAATTAAAATTAGCATTACGCTACAAACTTCCTCTTTCAACAATATGCATACATGACATTAATTAAGCTATATATGCATCAATATTTTCAAATTCTATTTTCTATAACAAACACCATATGGAAGGTGATTTCCCTTTTATCCACAGCTGTCCAACATACTACTGGTAAGATATTAGGAAAAACATTTAATCTATCCACATCTCAAAATACCAAACTAGTTAGTCTGGGTCGGCTTTGATCATAGTTAGACTACTTTTAAGCTGATTTAACATATTGCAACACTCCTCATTTATCTGGACTTGGGACGAGCTATTAGTAAAACATATTAACAAGCCATATTAGTAAAACATATACACACTAAAAATGAGAGTTGTAAGTTAAAAAGACTACTCACTCTTAGGGGGAAGAACTCTAGCAGGGACCTCGAGTCGCGATTTAACAACCAATGCTGCAGCAGACTCCTGAGAAAAGCAACAAGGCCAACCTTTCAAAACTCTAGGCCCCCAAAGTTCCCCCAATGTTGTCAATTGGACCAAACAAGTCCACAACAATACCATTGTTGTAGCCCTTATCATCCATAACTTCATTCTAGACCGCGAAAAAACTACGGAACTCTTCAGTTTCTCCACACGACTAACTCCTAAAGTTGTCCCTTTTAGCCCCATTACACCCAATCCCCACCTCCTTCTCCTCCTTTCTCTCTCTTCCATTTCTCCCTCTATTCTGCACATATCCCTCCCATACACTTCAATTTACACCAAAAAGCTCATGCCTTTCGGATAATGTAGGATCCGAAATCCCATCAACAGGTTTACCCGACACTTGTATTCATAAATTGTAGCAGATTTTCCAGTGGATCACTCAAACTGCACACAAACTGACTCGAACACTACCACTAAAAATAGGATCCAAAACCAATTAGAAACTAAAAAAAATTATTCCTAGTCCAGTTACTTGATAAATTGAACAAATCTAGGAGAACCCTACGTGTTACAAAGACAAATAATGTCTATCAAAATGTTCAAATCCGAGCACTAAATGTGAGAAAATTTTGGATTCTTTAACCTCTCTATAAGTTTCTGTTCAAACACAGAAGAAAAATCCGAACATTTCTAGCACAATATAGAAAAGATTCAATCTTTAAGTGATCAAAGAAGAGAACCCCAACTGATTTTTTCAACTTTTTCAAAATCAATATTAAAGCTAGAGAAGAATGAATGACTATAATCTCTGAAGGGGTTTTTCCGGCTAGGCGGCAGTGTAATCACCGGAATCCTGAAACGCCGGTGGGGGGAAAAGGTAGCTGAGGATGAGAATAGGAGAGAGAAAAAAGAGAATGATAAGCACGAACTGTAGCGTAGGTTAGAGAACGGTGTGGTTGAATGTACTTGATTATTTCTTAAACGTGGTCATTGGTTGGAGAGTGGTTATCTTATGTGGAGAAGTTCACATTTGTTTCGTGTTCTTGTTTGCTTATTTTGAGTAGCAACTGCATGTGGATATGGTGAGCTAAACTATGGGTATTTATAGTGAAAATAAGATAAGAACTATACAAAAAACAAAAATAATAATAATAATAATAGACAAGAACTACTATATTTTTGTTTTGTTAGTAGACACTAGACAATATTAACATTCAAACAACATTTGAACATTGATGAAGCAAATCAAATATAGTTTTGTTGTTGTCTCTCTTTTACAAATTCAACCAGGTCGACCATTTAACCGATCATCACTCTTAGGGGGAGAACAAGCTACTCATCTGCTGAAAGGGATGCGAAATTTATCACTCTTAGGGATCTCGAGTAGGAATTCAACCAAGTGTATTATTTGCCATCAGATAATATTAAATCATAAAAAAATGTGTACATATATAAAATACCTAGTTTGCGGAAGCTATAAATCTGCTAACCTCAACACTTTAACCATTTATATCATGGATATTGATCACGCCCAACTATGCCCTCTAAAAAAGGACTCTGCGGACGTTGCAAATATAACCCGAGTATTATGCCCAGGGTCGAATTCACAGAGAGTTAACCTATCAATCACTATCTTTAGACCCACTAAACTCTTCAGAACCAGTTTTCCAGATGTTTGAATCACAGTTGAAGGTTGCTTTACTAACTACGATTGCAAGTAAATCAAACAGCTGTAAATTAAAATGCTAAGGTTGTAAACAATGATGAGAAGAAGCTAAGGCAATGATTTCCCCTATTGAAAGAATCCCTTCTGTTTATGCTCATACAAATTTACCAACATATCTCTATCAATCATGAACGCTCATTTTACCGTAAATCTCCCCGAGTAATCACAGTAATATACTAATTGCACTCTCCCGAGATACACTAGCTTACTTTATTTCGCACAATTCACTTTAGATTACACCCAAGGCTTCGTTATCCCTAATCTCGCCTTTAAAACCGCAATTATAGATTCCTCTTATACTTTGGGAGTGGTGTTGTTCAACAATAACCTAAATATGCACTCTTTTCCAAGTTATGCACGCTAAATAGGCACAGCTAATTGAGGATCCTGTCAATTAACTACAACAAGCACAAAGTTGAACAAATAGAGATTGAAACTAGCAATTTGTATTCACATAAACAAGATGTTCATCCCCCAATAGGTTCCATCAAAGCCTTAGACAAAGTATTTAGCTACTCATGGCTATGGAAAAACAAACTAAGATAGAATTCATCATAACTAGCAATAAAAATCAAAGAAAAGAAGAAAGATATTTTGGGTGATCTCTCACAATTGTTTTCCTTGCCAAGATACTCTAAAATTCAATACATGCCTCTCTTGGGCGAAGTCTTGTATTTAAAATAGGGTTTAGGTCTAAAAATCCCATGTTTTACACTTTAGTCCCTGAAGTTTTCTGCTTCCGCCGCGGTTCTGCCGCAGTCGCGGTCAAACCGCGGCCAAATGCCTTCTCTGATTCTCATTTTATCCGCAACTCTCTTCCACCGCGGTTCTACCGCGGTCGCGGTGGACCGACGGTCAACCAGTTATCTGAATCTTCAGGCCTGTTTTGCGTGGTTTACTTGGGGAATTTCACAGTTGGCCTCTTTTTCTTCATTTTTGACTCCAAAAATACTCCCTAGCCTTCCCTG